GAAATATTGGACTAAAATTGACGATAGAAGTTGTCTGCAGGGTCGGAGCGGATGCCTCATCGGGCCAAATAGTTCATAATGGACCCTAGAACAAACGTGTAAAGTATGAAAAGATACTCATTTCGTGCAGAATTTTTGTTCAAAGCCAACGGACTACCCCTCTTCCTGTCTGAGACGCTCCCGCCCGAGTCTCGCTTGACGCCCGCTGCCCCTTTCTTCCTCCTCTTTACAATGCAGCTGCAGCGCTCGCTCGCCCGCTCCCCTGTTTTAATTATATGCCGTGATGCCGCGAGCCCGGCGCGCTTTATTTCGAAAAGCAGCCTGTTTTTGCCCCTCTTCTCTCCCATCCCCGCCTCGGCTTGCCCCGCTGCGCTCCGGCGCGCCCTCTCACGAGGAGCGGGACAAAACAATTACGGTGCACACGAGACGCCATCCGCATGGTCGGGGAGAGGGGGGGGGGCTCTCTCCACACGACGGTGCCCTCCGCTCGTCTGCACGGTCTCGCGCGCGCAGCGCCCTTTGGCAAACGCCATAGTGGCAGCGTGCAGAGAGCCTCTCTCTGTCTCTCTGGGGTTCGAGTCGCTCGCCCACAGGTGGTGTCGGGCAGAGATTGTTATTATTGTCATTCCTCGGTGCGATCGAGGCGTCGCAATACCCGCAATACCAGTATCCAATATGAGGGGAGTTCCTAAAGCAGATCGCCGTGGTTCTGGGAGCTGTGGTGTCAGTCGGGGTGTGAGAGCCCCTGCGGTGTAGGCCGTCCCGTGGGACATGGGTGCAGTGCGGGCCGGCCTACGCATGAGGGGCCCTTGGGTAGGCAGGCTGGCTCCTCAGAATGCCCCACGGCGCGGCCTGCTAAGCCACATTGCCCATTCCTTGACAAAGTGATCCCCACGACATCGGCGCTTCCCTCTAGTACAAATCTTTGTCTCGGCATACAGGGTGGTCCACAGACCCCTTCCTTTATTTTGCTTATGCTGTACCGCATGCAGGGGTCGGGCGGGCTTGCCTGCCGTCGCTCACCGCGGCGCCTTATGGCCCCGTGCGAGTATGCAACTCGCCCTACCATCCGGTACAATATAACCAAAATAAAGGAAGGGGTCTGTGGACCACCCTGTACTTGAAAATAGAGCACTTTATTAATTTTTTAGAAATTTTAATATAAACACCATTTTTTCGGGCCGAGAACAGTGCAACTACTTACTTGCATCGTGTGCCAAAACTTTTTCATTCGATTTTATGCTAGATGTTTTACGGCACAAGTACGATGTACTTGTTATTGAAGCTGTTTTTTTTCGGTGTATACCTGGAAACTTTCTAAATGCTACAAGATTTACAATTTGTGAGGGGAAAACCATTAGCGGTATTCGGTTGTTTGTTTCTCGGAGTGGATCCTGAGGATCCTTTCGCAACAGCTTCGTGTTTACGGATGCCGCGCTCCCCGCCCGCAGCGCGCTTTGCCAGCACACAACACAAAGTACTTTGTACTCGAGCAACTTCGAATTGAAATTGACCGGGCATTCTTTCTTGCTCCCCACTTTCTTCAATTTCGCGCGATTGTTATTTTGTTATTGCCGTTCTCTCCTCTCTGTGCTCGAGGCTGGCTGTCCGGCGGACTTTGTCAGGAAATAAACAGCAGCGGGCCGATCCAGTGCCCGTGACCTTTAATTATCTGCTGCTCAGGGGGCGGGTCTTGAGCAAAGTTGGCATCGTCTCGCCGTCCCCCTGGTTCTGCGATTTTTCTCCCCACCCTCCCCTCCCCTCTTTTGCCCCGTTTCCCCCCTTGTGCCTTGACGAGGACGGAGATGACCCATTTTTTTTTTGCTCCCTCGACTTACCATCCGCGCGTGTGCTAGCCGTTTCAGCCACCGCAACCGCAACGTCCCTCTATGCCGCGCCACGCCACGCCGTTTTGCGCCACTGCCACGCCCAGCCCATCTGCTCGCCGTTGTCGCCCGGAGCGCTACGCGGAGCGCCGCCGCCGCCGTGAGCACCTCTAGACGGACTGGGCGGACAGCACGGGGCGGAGCCATCACCGCCACCGCCCCCGCCGTCACCATCAACCGGGCCGTGATGGTCGGTGATGGTGATGGCGGCGGGGGCGGCGGTGGCGGAGGCGGCCCGCCCCCGACCCGTTCAC